TCAACGATGGTGAATTCGGCGGTAACGATATCCTCTTATCCTGTCTCTGCTAAGACATTGTCGTGGCCTCCTCGTCCTTTTTTCACCCTTTCATCCCTCCGTAGGCTGAACTTGTCGACCATGAAATTACACGCGCACGAGAAAGGTAAAGCCACACCGGCGAAAATATTCCGGCGGCTCTTCCCCCTTCCTATTGCCCCCTCCGTGTATGCACTCCCACGCCCACGCAGAAACTTAGCTTCGAGCCGACTCTTATTTACCTAGAACCGGTCACCAATACCACCTAGCCAACGTTTCCACACGTACACATGCGTGTACATGTATGTGAAGTTGCGAGGAAAGGGTAGGGGGAGAGAGTGGTCTGTTGAAAGGGCTGGTTTTGATTAGCTCTGTAGACAATACCCACTCTCTGATACCGCTGTGATTCTCTCTCTCTCTCTTGCTCATCTCCACCCACCGTGGCATCCTCTACCCTCGACCCACCCCCTCATCACCCACTGGCTCTCCTCGGCTTCGCCTTCGCCGCAGCGAACGCAGCAGCCACTTTGTACGCCGACTGTTTTGTGTCTGACGAACAATGGGCCTGCACCACTGACAGTGCACCACCACCAGTACACCTATCATCATCGCTCTATGCACCATTGCCAGGCTAGTTTCTCACTAACACCGATAAACCGCGGTCGGACCGTCGCTGCGGTATTAAATAGCGCGCGTGGCGGACGCGTGTATCGAGATACCTTTCTCGCTCTCCCTCTCTCGTACTCTCTTACACTCTTACTCCGCGATGCTAACGACATTTCGAACACCGTGTTCTTAGCCTCCGCGATAGGATCGTTCACTTTCAAAGGGTTAATTGCGTTTTTACTGCTCAATTAAGAAAGTAAAAAATAGTCGTAACGATAACTCTCTGCCGCGTCCTAAACGATACTACACAAGCTATCCACCTTCCCCTAAGAGGTTAAGCTCGTCGTTCCCACTAGTTGCGTGGCTCGCTGCCCGGACCCACTCATTTTCGATACCCCTAGCCATGCACCTGATCTTTCCTGGCGAGGCGAAACTTGCACCCGTGCCAACTTCCACTGATTGATTGTTTGTTCAAAGAGAATTCGCCACAATTCCTGGTAATTCGAAAAAGCCAGACCTCGAACATTTTCCTCCTTGGAATCGCGACTAGTTTCAACATCGGGGGGAGGAACAATCGACGGTACTATTCGTATGATACTCACGGTACGAATACCATCTTCCGTTTAAACTTTGAAGCTTCGATTTCGCTCACATTCCCTCCGTCTACCGCCTAGCGTATATTTTTAATGACTTTCCATGCGGCGAACATGCACGTCCATACTACTCTCTCGCAGCCTTTCCAGGTCTCGCGACTAAGCGACGCGTAAGATGAAAGGAGAGCACACACTCTCTCTACTATTCGATATTTAATCCTGCGAAATGTTCCAAGAGATCTCCTATCTAGGTAGGCGACAGTGAGCGTTACACGATATATTCCATTAACGAGAAGGAGGCAACAACTCGTGTAACTCGATGAATAGCTACGTTAATAAATGACAGGGTTGATAGTGAGCATAGTTGACGAGTTGTGCGTTAATGCTTCGTTATGTGTATTAAACTAGTTAGAGAACTATTTTGCAGAGCGGTGGCCTACCAAACCTAGTTGTCCGTAAACTATCGATAAGCCATAGAACAGGTTTCCGTTAGTTTCTGCTCTCTTTCCTATCGATACGAGATGCCTGTTTTCATTCATACGAAATTTCCTCGACGGTATCGCGAGACTCCTCTCTATACAGTAGAGAATAAGTAGCATATACACGGTGTGTCTCAAATAGGGAGACAGAGATATCACTTTTGGTCTTCGAGATTTAATCGCGCACAATGGCAGACGATCCTGTTGCGGTATTGTCACCGTTGTCGCTGCCAGACAAACCTGGCCGCCGGGGGGACGAAACTTAGTTACTCGATAGAGCACACGAGGAAACGCGTTACCTCCCGGTTCCACCATGAGTGACGATGTGACATCGCGACTATCTTTGGCCTTCTCGCGAGACATCTAATTCGCTTAGAACCGTACTCCCTCCACGAGATACCTCGCAATCTGTTATAATTCATACGCGTTGCGCCTACCTTCGAACAAGTTTCATCGCGTTCGCTAATTGAATAGAGCAAGGACGAGTTGTCGCGACTGGGGGGAAAAAAGATTAACTTTAATCTTTCGAAGATTAAACGACCGAGATAAGGATGGATAAGTCACGTTTATGGCGCGAAGACATCTCCGTAACAGGGAACTATCTGCTCGTCTGTCATCGCGCGCACGTCTCCTGTCTCGTTGTCCGATATTAGCCGATCAATTTTCATACGATCCAGTACACTTACGGCTGTTCATTCAGCCCTCGTTTCTCTCTCTCCCTCTGCCTCGCGTGGACGAGAGAACTGGCTAAAAAGGCGATCATGGAGGACGGCCTCGTACTATGGGTATAGCATCGGGTCTCGATTGGAAATTACTCCCTTTCATCCTTTCACGTAGGGGAGGGTGAAAGAGCAAGTAGGAAAAGCGATGCAGTCGACGTTGCTCGGCGGTAGGTATCCGGCTGCGCCTCCGATACATTTTTCCGACTTTCTCCACGCGCTAATGCGCCCAATCCTCGCTCTCGCCAAGTGAGAATTTCGTTACATCGAACCCGGTGGTCAAGTTGCGGCCTGTGTTATCGTCGATACGGATTTAATTAAAAAATATTTAACAAACTATCTCCTCTCGAGGCCTCTCGCGTAAATATCAGCCTGCATTCCGCGGTTAATTTCCTTGACGTGGCGTGGCGAGGAGAGCCTCGTGGCTCGCGTTATTATCGCCAAAATAAAGATAAAAGCACGGTAGAGGCGAGAGAGACTCCGGGATAATTGCAGTGGCTAAATTAAAAATTGCACCATCGTAGAACGACCACCGGTATAATGAAGCCACCGTGTACGTCGCTGTTCTCTCCACGTTCTAGCAACTGACCAACGTGTGACACGTGAAATAAACGCTGTATACGTCCAGCTGGAAGTCGTCGCGAGCGTGCATTTAGCTTACGCTTCGGGAAGAATGCGTTACGCGTAGCTCGCGCGCGGCTGCACCCTAACGCATCCCTTAACAGCCGGCCGAAAAGCGTTCCGCGCGTGCCTGCGCCTCCTAAGCGAGCGCTTTATTGCGCTCGACATTCTGAACGCGCGTTCTTTTTTTTCTTTTCCTCCTTTCCTTGCGCAACGCTCGTGGGAAAGAACGTTCTCGGTACCCGGTTGCTTTCTATCCTTGGTATCGTTTACTTAGTCGATGGCTTTCGCTTATCCATCTTTCGATACGTTTGCTCCCGGGGATTTGATGGAATAAAAATATTTCGCTGCGAACGGGTGCGCTCAGCTTGGTCGGCTTTTCGAGTGGTAGAAAGAAAAATCGACTTTTCGATTTTGATATATTGAAAAAAAGAAAAAAAAAAGTATTTCGAGAATGTAACACGCACTTTGAAGATTTTGCCTTTCAAGAGACGGAACTCGATGCAACAATGCAGCAATGCGTGCGTGTACGATATACAAGGAATTAAATACGCGTTACGCGGGGACTAGAGGGTTGACGGGTGTGGACTGGCGCGGTGGTATTGGATTTGTTCCTCGTTTGGGGCGAGTTCGCTCTCTCTCTCTGCGGCGACGAGAGGAAATCTGACTTGGCGTGGAATTTTTTAATTAGCAAAAGCAAAATCCGATGGCACGGTGCTCGCTCGTTCGATGAAGTCATCGGTGCCTGTACGTAACCACGTTAACAGGATCTAATCGGGAAACTTCCGTTGATAATTGTTCAGGCATCGTCGATTCAACGATGCGTGGCATATATTATTGATACACTTGGCCACGTTGTTGGCTCTGCGTGCTCCGAGTGTGTGCCTCAAAGTGGACTTTGCGTGTCGCGTACCGATTCGGAGAGCAGTAGTTGTATCTCGTGTAAAGGTAGTCAGCAATAGCAAGTGGAAATGTAAAGAGAATTCTCTCGTTACGATCGCCGGAGAGTATTTTTCCAACGATAGTTTCTCGAACAAACGGTTATTATCGTTGTTCAATTATGGCGAAATTGTTTTAACCGTGCATCGAAAATAATCAAACGTGGAACAAAGAATTGCGTACACTTTCGTGTTTAAAGTTGATTGTGATTGGTTGAATAAGTACTTGTTGCGCGATGTATTTTACAGCGGTAAACTGTTAAGAGGTGAAACGTGAGCAACGGTGACAAGATTATTGTTATTTACGGCAGGGTGATAGGAAAATGAAGTGCAAATCATTTTACGGAATAGCCGGATGAATTTTCGGAATAACACGAGCAGAGTGGAACGCCGAAATTCCGATAGGATTACCT